GGACCAGATGAGTAAACATGTGTTTATGGGACAAAGATGAGTAAACATATGTTTATGGGACCAGATGTGTAAACATATGTTTATGGGACCAGATGTGTAAACATATGTTTATGGGACCAGATGTGTAAACATATGTTTATGGGACCAGATGAGTAAACATATGTTTATGGGACCAGATGTGTAAACATGTGTTTATGGGACCAGATGTGTAAACATGTGTTTATGGGACCAGATGAGTAAACTTGTGTTTATGGGACCAGATGAGTAAACATATGTTTATGGGACCAGATGAGTAAACATATGTTTGTGGGACCAGATGTGTAAACATATGTTTATGGAACCAGATGTGTAAACATATTTTTAAAAGTTTAATCGCATGGAAACAAGGTTCTTCCGGTAAGATTGATGTGTGTTTTATCTCAGACTGCACCCCCACTTCTTATGTGTTTTATCTCAGACTGCACCCCCACTTCTTAATGTACTTTACAATATACTTGATAGCGATTAGAAAAAGAAAAAACAACAACCAGGTAATGCAACTTTTCGCGCAACTACATTCTTTCATCTAGGCTAAATTAAACCAGTTTCCAAAGATCTGTTTACTCATATTGCTCGCGAGCATGTTCAGGATGCGGTAGACTCTGGCTTGTCTAGTTTCTTTATGAACTTACATAGCGATATGCCACAACACAGTTCCTCGAAATCCAGCAGAAAAACCAAAATGTGTTCACTAGCAGTTCAAGTATGTCATATAAACTTAATCGCGAAACAATAATCGTACCCTAAATACTTTTTTTTCGAGGCTCGTTAACAAATCCGTATTGTATAGTGAGCTGTTAAATCAAATTGTAAAAATTGTCAGTTTTACAGGCTACTTCAGGAAATCAGACTTGACGTTATTTAAATACTTCCCAGGATGTGTATCACAAACTTAAACCAACCAGTTAATATTTGTCAACACAGATGTTATTTTCTTTTAAATATCTCGTGGTGAACTAAAACAAACAAACAAACAGGTAAAACTTTTAATTATATGCTTATTTTCTACGAAAATATCATTTTAAAACATAGGGTTATAGACAACAATACTGAAAATATTAGTAGTTTGTGTTTCCAAGGTTACTTATATGTCCAAAGTAAAGTACCGCCATTAATTACTAAAATACTGTATACAACAGTACAAGCCATCCCATTGTTGTACGCATATGCCAATTTCACCACAAACACGTGTACTGCGGTTGGTCAGGTCCATGACTCGCGACATTTCAGTGCCTGTGTGACTGATAAATAAGAAAGAACTATGGCCCTCTAGACGTTACAACCCAATCCGCCGCTCGGAATGAGATTGTATGCGTTCGACGCGTTGAAACAAACAAAAACTTATCAAACAGTATTTTGTATCTTAAGGAAAGACGTCTCATAGCATGCATGGGCGATCACGTGTTTGATTTATTAGTAACTTCATTGAGTTGTTGAATAACAGGATCGGTGGAAGTTATCACAACATCCACAAGCTTCTTTTGATTTAGTGATTTTGTGAAAGCTTGATTACTAACTTTTTATTTAATAATAATAATTTAATATTGTTTCCATGACCGTTTTCTACGATAAGGTCATGATATTATAATACATCCATAATGTTCAACTTGGCTGTTACTGCACAGTACGTATAAACTCTAGAAGTTTAAGACGTTGTAAAAGTTTCAAAACTTAATGTTTGAAAATACGTATCTTACACGTGTGTGTATATATAACATGAGATTTCGGGCACATTTTTTTGATGAATAAGATAATTAAATATAGATTTGTACGCTACATAATTCGCCTGACATCTGACATAAATTGCTACGACTTGCGTATTTGTTTGAAGTTACGCACAAAGCTACACAATGGGCTATCTGTGATCTGCCCACCACGGGTATCGAAAACCGGTTTCTAGCGTTGTAAGTCCGCAGACATACCGCTGTGCCACTAGGGGAGCATGCTATGACTTATGTTACTGTTTAGGTGTATAGTTAAGTATGATAGAACAACCAAAAATGAATGGTAAATTGTAATAAATAATAATTTAAATTAACACCTGAATTGTACAGTAAACGGAGAAGAATTACTTGGTGTGAAATCATGTGTTTGGTATGAGAAGAATTACTTGGTGTGAAATCATGTGTTTCGTATAAGAAGAATTACTTAGTGTGAAATCATGTGTTTGATATGAGAAGAATTACTTTGCGTGAAATCATGTGTTTGATATGAGAAGAAGTACTTAGTGTGAAATCATGTGTTTGGTATGAGAAGAATTACTTTGCGTGAAATCATGTGTTTGATATGAGAAGAAGTACTTAGTGTGAAATCATGTGTTTGGTATGAGAAGAATTACTTTGCGTGAAATCATGTGTTTTGTATGAGAAGAATTACTTAGTGTGAAATCATGTGTTTGATATGAGAAGAATAACTTAATTTGAAATCATGTGTTTGATATGAGAAGAATTACTTAGTGTGAAATCATGTGTTTGTATGAGAAGAATTACTTGGTGTGAAATCATGTTTGGTATGAGAAGAAGTACTTAGTGTGAAATCATGTGTTTGTCTTACATGGTTCAATATTTCTTCCCGTCACCGAAACTGCTCGCCCTTTCAGCCGTAGGGGAGTTATAATGTAACGGTCAATCCCATCGTTCGTTAGTAAAGAATAGCCAAAGAGTTGGCGATGGGTGGTGTTTACTAGCTGCATTCCTTCTAGTCTATCCCTTCAAAATTCAACGATTAGCGCAGATAGCCCTCGTGTAACTTTGCGCGAAACTTAACAAACAAACTATTTAAATTTCTTTTATACACGAGTACTTAACAATAATTTAGTTTGTTTTTACTTGAATTGGTGTTGTAAGTTAAAAGTACAGTCCTGTTTCATTTTTTCAAACTGTACGAGGTCTGGCATGACATGGTGGCTAGAGCACTAGACTCTCAACCTGCGAGTCGCGGGTTCGAATCCGTCACCGAACATTCTTGCCATTTCAGCCGTGGGGGCGTTATAAAATCCGATCAATTCCACTATTCGTTGGTAAAGAGTAGCCCAAGAGTTGCCGGTGAGAGGTGTTGACTAGCTCCCTATAGTCTATTTCTTCAAAATTAGAATTTAGCGCATTTATGCATTTTTGCGCGAAATTTTCAAATAAACAAAGAATATATATATATAAATAGATAGATAAAGGCATAAATAAATTATCTTACATATATATATCTATAGATAAAGACTGGAGTGAAGTATTAAATGGAATACAATGACCCTGCTGCTGACCCTCATCATGAAGATGAGGAAGTTAAACATTTCCCTCATGCCATTCAACCCTTCAAGTTGACCTACCTCGTCGTTGTTTCTTTCGCCCTCGTTAACCATACTTGCCCCCCACCTACCACTATGCCCACCCCTTTTTGTGTCCATGTTACTTCCGGATGGTCACCTGCTTGGTAGCACAAAGCTTTATGACCCTTCATCCACCTCCATGACCTGGATACATCATACAACATTTTTGTACTACCCTTTATTATTCTGTTTTAGTTATGAAGTTTTCATGTTTGTAATATGTAAACTTTACTTTTTTTACGGATCTGATCCATGTAATAAAGGGTGAAAATCTGTAAACTTTACTTTTTTACGAATATGATCCATGTAATAAAGGGTGAAAATATCTAAACTTTACTTTTTTTTACAGATCTGATCCATGTAATAAAGGGTGAAAATCTGTAAACTTTACTTTTTTACAGATCTGATCCATGTAATA